CGGCAGTCGGGGCGGCGCGGCGAGACCATAAACACTACTTTATTGTATTTCGTTACCGCGGTAATATTAAAACAATATAATGCGGAAACAAATCATACGGTTTTATGATAACTTTTATATCGTTATAAAGGTTTTTGATGCTCCTCGCTCGTACACTCGTACAACAGCTGCTGCGAACTCTCACATTGCTGTGTAACGTGACAACATTAATAATGCAAACTTCCGCGCTTGGCAATAACATGGATAGGCAGAGATCATTCCAGTGCTCTATTTGACAGAATTACATGTACTGGCATTTGTAATCATACCAATACTAATATTATAAATGCAAAAGTTTGGATGGATGGATATAAGTTTGTTAGAGCTTGTAGCCTAAACGACTGAACGGATTTTAATAAAATTTGGTATAGATGTAGAGGGTAGTCTGGAAGAACACAAAGACTACTCACTTTTGTTTTTTTTTAATTCCACGCCGACGAAGTCGCGGGCGAAAGCTTGTAGTAAAATAAACTTTAAAATTTGTCCCCAATAGTCGTTGATAAGTTTAGCATATATTACAGCATAAGTTATCACACTTCCTTTTAAGTAACAGCTGGACTTGTACAAGTCGTTTAAACAATAAAACTTCAGTCAAAGAGTTAATTCCTTCAAACTGGGGTTTCTATTTGAGTAAAATTAATTGTAATAATTTGTCAAGAAGTAATGTAACTAAGTTGGTAGTCGTGCTCCGCAATGGCTGACGTTTGAGTCCACATTAAATACCAATTTGCTCAAATGTTCAAATTCAAACTTTGCACAAACCTCAATTATCATTAAACTGTTACCATTTTTTCTTTTTACTTTAGATTTACGAATGAACATTAAATAATATATTGACTTTAAAATTACCAGAACATTATCTTTTATTTTCTTTAGCGTGTATTTCATAACATTTAACTAGTAAACCACAGTCTTCTGAGAAATAAAAAATAAATAAAATGGGATTCTCTTTCCTTTTGAAGTTGTCCAAAATACACAAAATCAGTTTAAATAAATGAAATAAATAAGAAAACCAAACTTACTTCTTAGCGCTTATAATCAAGAAATCTCATCACTTTCGGTATCCAAGTCAAACATGACTTAAGACAGTTAAGTTACACGCTGTGAGACACACGGTAGAATGCAACCTCATCCTCCATCCCCCAACCCTCGCCGCCCGACCATTCATTAAACTTTGGTCTAATGCTTACAGACGTTTAGTTTTAACTGAAAAATATTAATTGAATAGGCGAAACTGTCTGTCTATAGCGACTATACATTGGAATTTTATCTAACGGTGTTTGTGCTTAGATAACTACATATGTATGTACTTTTGTAATTCATTATTGCATGAAAATTGATTAATTTTATAAATACAATATTATTAAACACATAAATCCTTTATTGACAAATTGTGAATTACATTCAAATACAAATGGAATATTTCAATGTAATTGCAAAAATTCCAAATTGCTTTTCAAACTAAACACGATTCATTGAGGGAAATTTTGAATTAGTAATCATAAATGAGTATATTTTGTGTCGAATTGCTTTAAAATTTAATTACTTTTCGTTTCCTATTGAATTTTAAATACATTAATGTGAAGTTCGTATTTTTATTTAACATTCAATGATAAATATAATTTTAATTAACTTGTTTTATAATCAACTGATATTACCTTAATCAACATTAAATTGAACATTAAAGATGTTAAAGCCACTTACAAGGGATATAAATTAAAATTTAACGAGAAAACTCTAATTATTTCCCCTTGCAACAGCAATGGAACCTGACTCCTTGCAATAGAGCTACGTAACGACCTATATAATACAGTAAGGGCCTGTCCCACATTTGACTAAGAGGCTCAGATAGCTTAAAAATGACGTCACTGTCAGATAAGTTAACAAAATCCGATATTTCCTTTACATATTTTACACGTTGGATTGTTATCAGATACAATTTACAATTTGGTGGGAAAGGCCCTTAACTACTTTCTTTATGTTTTTCTTTGCTAAAGAAATACAATGTTATCAATAATAGAGTGCGTTTTCACTGTTCATAAACTGATGCAGCATATTGTAGTTCTCAAAAATGTACATTTGTTACAGCAGTATGCATCTATTCTAATTTTTTTTTTATAACATAAGGTGGCAAACGAGCAAGCGGCTATCCGAATCCGCCAAAATGGCGAAGCGACCGCTGCCCATAGACATCCGTAATTGCAGATGCGTTGCCTACCCTAAATCGACGGAGGAGGAGACGCACATAAAGAGGATATTTCCCCTTCCTATGCATCTCCTCCACTGTCAAATCCACTTCCCCTACCCATCCTCCTTATGAGAAAAAGGTGGTAAGGAGTAAGGGACTTAAATTAGGCCTCCGGCACCACACTCATCAGACGATACACGGAATTACTTTCACTTCACGCCTGTCTTCTGTGTGCCGACCCATTCGTGCTAAGATGTTAAAGCGGGCCCTACCACTGTTAAACTAGTTTTTTATCGAAAACATTAGTATGCAAACAATTTGTAGGAAAACAATTTTATTAGTAAAATCAATGAATTGTGCAAATGTAAGTTTTAATTGGTATGTTAGACCGATCCCAAGAATTCTCAAGGGTCCTAAATATTTCCGTTTGAAGGCGTATCCCGGAAACATCCCTGTGTCCCGCACCCTGCCCCGCGTCCTGCACCCTGCCCGCTTCAACAAATACATTATATTCTCCACATGGAAACCTTTTGACAGATCTTCGAGGAAACGTTCTAAGGATTTTTAACAATGGAAAAAAGTTGCTAAACCGGTGGCGTCTTATTCATAAAAAGGAACATAAAATAGAAAATAAGTCGTGATACATTTTTATATTTTCATACCAAAAGTTGGCTAACGAGTTAATAGACTGTTTTCGTAGACTTCTACAAAAATAAATAGAGAGCTTGTACAGAAAATTAAGTGCATATATTACCTTTTTTTTACTTTCTCCACCAAAATCATTCCTTTCTTTATTAAACAGTGTTAAAACATTTTTTTTTATTTTTCAAATGACAACTATTCTGTCTTGTGTTCAAAATTGCAGTGTCATCATGGTGACGTGTTTATAAAAATCCGCTTCCCGTGTGTATATTTGATCAGCACCAGCGCCGACCCTCCTTCACGTGCCGTCAACTGACAGCTTGTCGATATTTTCACAGACACGTTTATTAAATTACATCCCGCACACAATTTGTTTACATCATGTTCTGCGAAAAATTAACAAGATTATTCTGATGAAAAGAGTTATTTGTAACTTGATTGACCTTTTTTGATGACAAACAAATTTAGTTGTTTTTTAACATTCCATATTTTTACCTTTTGTTATTAACAGAGATTGTGCGCGTGTACGAGTAATTGTAATCAAGAGAAGTTATAAATTTCGCTTTTTATAGGAAGTTTTAAGCTTTGTAACTTTATGAAAGTAAAAGAAAAACGCATTTATTTCAACAGCAATCATACTGCATACTAATATTGTAAATGCCAAAGTTTAGATGGATGTTTGTTAGAGTTTTTAGCCAAAACGGCTGACCGGATTTCAATGAAATTTGGTAGAGATGTAGAGGATAGTCTGGAAGAACACATAGGCTACTTACTTTTGTTTTTTTTTTAATCACACGCGGGCGGAATCGCAGGCGAAAGCTAATGTACAATAATTTATGAATAAATGACCATGTCGCAGCATCGCCAATTGTTGCGCTCTGTGACGTGACGGAGGATAATCCTCGCCGTCAGCACAGACCAGTGCGTCGCTGATTACTACTGCCTGTACGTATATCTTATGTAACGTGTACATTATTTTTACATCTATTTATATTTTTAGATTCTCTAGCACATAAATTCAGTAGTATGCGTGCAAGCTGTCGATTATCTACATTCAAGACATAAAAAAAAATTGATGTAAGTACTGCTATATAAATCCGTCTGCAAGACAGGTAAAAAAGCACTGCTTAGCGAGTTAAAAACATATGCAAAAAGTAGTTTGCAAGAAATTAGAGCTTCGCCCGGAGCGCACACATTAATGTGCGGACACGTGTGCTGGCGACCTCACCGTCTTAGCCAAGGTTGATTCAATTATTGCCAGCAGTTATACCAAATGAGATAACTTGCGCATGTCTCTAATATAGACTGATGCGAAACACCACAACTCATCAGTAACCCAAAGGGGTAAGCAGAGCTTACGCACTTCTGTTTAGCGCGGTCCTAATACAATTATTTACAGGTATGTATGTACATATTACGCTTGCACGTCTGTTACGTGCACGTGTTTACGAGCACTTCGTAAACACTAATAATCAACGTTTGAGTTCTCGACGAGCCTAACATCACGTACTATGACGTCATACGCCACTCATCCCATTCTACATTTAGTCATCAACACTAGCGATAGTCCATGGTTTCGCATGGATTCGTATCCTATTTTTCTCCTTTTATATAATTACTAGCTTTCGCCCGCGTGGAATTAAAAAAAAAGAAGTTAGCCTATGTGTTCTTCCAGACTATTCCCTACACCCATGCATAATTTCATCCAAATCCGTTCAGCCGATTAGGCTGCAATCCATCCATCCATCTAAACTTTCGCATTTATAATATTAGTGGTCACACTGAAAAATATCCCCATTTATTACAATTAAAACCCTAATGATTATTGGAATCATACTTCTTATTTGACAGTAATCATTAGGGTTTTAATTGTAATAAATGGGAATATTTTTCTATTACACCATAACATACGGTTGTCTTACCATTTAGTACGTTAAAATGTAACAACCAGACTGATGGTTTATCATTTATAATATGTATAGGTTAATTAAAGTCAGTATGTTGTGTTTCCTCACGTAGCTACCGAGCAATAAGCACTAAGCAAATACCGCCGCTCCAGTCACTGGATTACTCCGTATTAACTGTGACAATAATTATCTTGTGATACAATAAACGTTTTTATGTTTATTACTGTAAGAATTAAGTTGGTATTGATAAGAGCGCGTGTTGGGTGTTAGAGGTAGTCGAGTGTTGACAGTCGCGGTGAGCGGAGTGTGCGCGGCCGCAATGACACGATGGTCTATACAATCACTCAAAAAGAGGTCCGCAGTCAAAAGAAGATTGTATGGAAACAGTATTTAATATCTGTTTTAGGTAAGTGATAATTTGCTTTATTTTTAAAATTAATTATTGTTATACAATTTTATTGACAAACAGAATGATTATCAATATGCTCAAGATAAGCTTTATAAGTGCATTGTACAGTCAGCTGAAAAAGTATGTACACATTTACAGTCTACAAAACATACGTCTTCGGTTTCAATGCGTAACTACACTATTTATCATTAGGTATTTATGGTCGGAAGTCTACGAATAAATATGCGCTGCGTATTTTTGAAATCAAGGACGTGTATACAAGTTTATAAAGTCATGCAAATGTTTAGTTGACTGTACAGAGAATTGATTTTCATAAGATATGATTAAAATATAAACAAAGTAGACACATGTATCAATCATCAACTAAGTAGAGTAGTAAATATGTTTACGAAAATGCCTATCGTTTAGTTTTATCAACTGATTTTATGTTTACGAGTCTGTAAATCGTGCAAGTTTTCGCACGAACTGACACTAAACACATGAAAGACGGAGTGTCTTTTAAAAACAAAGTATTTTACAATAACACAATAACAGTAGTACAAGAGTATCTTCTCTACACGTTAAATGACAATACATGTTGGTGAATTGCGGTCAGACGTGCCGGCCAATGATTGGCCTCAACCGGCGCGGCGCTGGCCACCAATTGAGAACATATCAAGACATGTTACAAGGACGACTAATAATTCCGCTAGTGGTGCACCGGGCGAAAAACAATAACATTTCAAGTTCCAAATGTCTAATTATCTCCATCTATTTATTATTTGAGGTCGGTTTTTTTTCCATCATGATTCATTCGGTACACAGGATGTGTATTTGAAGTAACACGAAAAATAAAGACAACGAAATAATGTAGAGGTCTACTTTGTTCGATAAATTTAAAACCAAGGCTAGTGATTCTATTCTTTGTATCGACAGATTGTAATAATTCGCGGATCACTACATTATAAAGATCTATTATTAATTTAAGCTCTAATAGCCTAATGGTTTAGGATACAGACTACCGATCTCGCTGTCGAGGGTTCGAATCCCTCCAATCGGCTATTGAGAACCATATCCTAGCACAAGCCTAGAGCTTTGTTGGGATAGTTAACCGAAAAATTTCACTAAATTAACAAAAATCTAGTAATACTTTTATATGAAAAAATTGTTTCAGCAAGTATTCCGTTCATAACACATGGAGTAGAGAACGACTTGTTGAGTGCCACTGCGCACCTCGCACCGGTAATAGCGGCGGTAGGGGTGCCGTGGACCGCCGTCACCTTCCTCATTGCCGCGCTGGTCTCCGCGCCTATACATGGCATCGTCATCGACCGGCATGGCAGGAGACTCGGCATTTATATGTTAGTGCTGTTGCAAGGGGTAAATGTCTCAACATTAATCTCGGATTAATATACTAGAAATTATAAAAGCTCTGTAAATAGGAACTCGTTTATTACAATTTATTATCAAAAAATTTCAATAACTGTTCTAAATTATTCCACTATTAAAACTGCAAACAGAAACTCCCTATAAGAGACACGTAGATGTCAGTTTTCTAAGTTCTGTTTTTACCTATCTAATCGTAGATGACAAGCGTCCCACTGCTGTTCTCGACGTCAGAGGCAAGTGTGTTAGCGCACGCGGCAGTGGCCGGCGCTGCCAGTGGCGGACTGTTCATCATCATCCCGGTGTACGTGCGGGAGGTCAGCAGCGATGCATTGCGGGGCGTCACGCTAGCACTCCTCGTGCCAATGACGTCACTGGGCAACACCATGAAGCTACTCCTCACCTTCGACCAGATGCTGTTTCTGGTGCTCGGCCTGGTAGCACTCGAACTGCTGGTCGTCTTCCTCATCCCAGAGAGTCCGGCGTACTTGGTTAAGGCTGAAAAAGTTGAGGTTAGAAATAACGTAACATTTGTTTTGACTGTATCTTCTAATCCATGTTTAGACTTTGTTTTTGATAACGAAGATTCATATCTGATTTATTTCTTAATTTAGACACTATTCATATAATTGAACTTAACCAAATTCTTCTTTTCTTGACTATGCTATACAAGATTTGGTTTACCAAAACTGTTGTTTCCGAAAAGTGTCGTAATTTAATTTTAAGAGTAAACAGACAATTCTTTTTTAATCCTCGACCGTTCATTAAATTAAATATTTTTGCAATAAATTTGCAGGATGCTAAAGTGGCTGCTGCAAAGTTAATTTGTACAAACAGCGAGGACCCTCTCGTTGTTGATGACATTAGGAAGTTAAAGGAGGAGAGTGAAAGGGCTAAGGCAAATGGAAAACTAACAATATTCCGGATACGTAAGTTGATTTATGACGTCCATGAATTATCGAATTAAAGAACATCTCGTTATTTTTATCACAAAGTCTTGAATGATAATTTTGCAAATGTAAATTGTATATTTTCAGTAAAGAATAATATATACAGGGACGAAATAAAGATAGGATTAGTGTTGAACACGACGACGGTGCTGAGCGGCAGCGCCATCTTCCTGCAGCCGGATAAGACGCTGATGGGCTTGGGCGAGGATGTC